TGTGTGTGTGTGTGTGTGTGTGTGTCAGCAGTAGTGCGGATCAGGACAAGCGTCTGCAGGCGTTGTTATCGACCTGTGAGAAACTTCCTACAGCGAACAGCAACAACTTCAAGTGAGTCCAAATACAAATATTTATACTGCATATATAATATATAAAGGATTTTCTATAATGTATAAAGGCACATTTTAAAAATGTTTTTATAATTTTTGTTTAATTTAGGTATCATTTATTTATATAGTGTATTAATATTTAATGTAATCATGTAATTCAAAAATAAATTATTTACTTATATAATACACAAATATGTTATTTTATACATATATATATATAATTTACATAGTATATTAGAATATTAAACACATTTTTAAATGTGCATTTAATGTATTAAAATATTTTAATATTTTATGAGTGTGTGTGTATATATATGACACATGAATTATTATATATTTTTTACATTTAATGGTTTTATATATTTTATTCATATATAATTTATATAGTATATTAGTATATAAGTTAATTTAATAGTTTAATCGAAAAAGTAAATGTAAACATCCTAACCTATCTTCTTACATTTTTACTAATTTAACATTAAACTTTTTTTAACTTTTTTTTTTTAATCTTGTTTGATTTCCAGGTATTTGATCAAATTTCTTGCCAAGCTGAACGAGTATCAGGATTACAATAAAATGAGTCCAGGAAACATTGCGATTGTTCTGGGGCCAAACCTGCTGTGGACGCATACGGAGGGGTACACACTCTCACACACACACACACACACACACACACACACACATACTCACACACACTCACACACACACTCACACACACACACACACACACACACACACTCACTCAGTCACTCACTCACTCACTCACTCACTCACTCACTCTCACACACACACACACACACACACACACATACTCACACACACTCACACACACACTCACACACACACACACACACACACACACACTCACTCAGTCACTCACTCACTCACTCACTCACTCACTCACTCTCACACACACACACACACACACACACACATACTCACACACACTCACACACACACTCACACACACACTCTCTCACACACACACACACTCACACCATCAGCGTCATGATGAGGAAAGGACATCACTGATGGAATGCATGTCTCACTGTCTCTCAGGAACAGCACAGAGATGATGACCACAGTCTCGCTGCAGATCGTGGGGATCATTGAGCCCATTATCCAGCATGCTGATTGGTTCTTCCCAGAAGGTGAGATACACAGAGCGCTTATCATCGTCAACTAAAAAATTACAACCACAAAAAACATTTTCTTACTTTAAATTTAAATAAGACATAAAAAAAACGTTTAGTTCAGCTAGCCAAGGTATTTACTAAAATGATTAAATTTAAATAAATAAAATATAATAAATAGCTATAAAGACAATTAAAAAAACAAACACAACAAAATTACTAACATTTTAACTGAAATTAATGTGAAAATATGAAAATAATATCTTGTTTAGAAATACGCAGGTTAATTCGCGAGAAAAAGAGCATATTCAAACATTGCTTTTGTTTACATTTGTTTATATATACATCATATAATTCTATTATTTTAATTATTTAGTATTTTACATTTTTATGTAGCTTATATATATTGTTAGTATCAATCATTAATACTGTTTCATTATTATAATTAATATACTTGCATATAATTATAAATGTATGTCTTAGTTTGTATCAATGTGTATATCTAAAATTTTTACTCATTTATCACTACATTTAATTTTTTTTTAGTTTTTTAGAAGTACAAACTAATTTGCATTTGTTGTCAAAGATTTCACTAAATCTTTATCAAATTTTTTAATTAGTTATTTTAATTTTATGATTTATTTTAATGATTGAATTCATTTTTATCTTTGCATTAAACTCACGATGACGCAATGCAGTGTTTCATGCATTTCACGTTTAATATATATTTGTATTTTTATATCAATATGGTACAAGATATTATTGTTCAAATCAATGTAATGAGTTAGATCAAAAGTAATCTAAAAGTAATCCGATACATTACCTAAAATGTGTAATGTAACAGATTACATTTTCTAAGTAATCGACCCTGTACTGACAATTCTGATCTATTTAAAGGGTTATGAAACCCTAAAACACATTTTCTCGTTCACAGCATCTGAAATATTGTTATGATCGTTCTGAAAGGCCTGAGCAAAGTCTGTCGTCAAAGTATTTCTGTATAATTGTCTTAAACGACTGCGTTCCCAAACAGCAGCGTCTGCTCCGAAAGCGTTGACGGCATTTATTGTGTTTCGTTTCGCTCGCTCTGAAGTGCACGCAAGTGATTTAATATATATGAAAATTATTATATTCTCCTAGTTTTCTTAGAGTGCCACAGTTTATCAGGAAGCAATGGTTTTGTTATCTTTGACTCGTTGGATGGAAACGGTGCTTTATTCGCAAATGTTTTATGCGATATTCCAGTTTTGCGCGTAAGTTTAATTCCAATCTTTGGATGTAAACATAGCTATTGATATACACCGAAAATTCAAAGAAGAGCGGACGAAAAGTGACTATGCTTTTATTCCTTCTGATGCGTGTCATTTGTTCTGAAAATGTAGTGCTGGTAAATGTGAAAATATTATTAGAACTATTAAATGTTCTTCTTCATTTTTCATGTAGACCGGTATGTCTGCTTATTTATTTAAAATAATAATTTATCAAAACATTAAAGGGGTCATATGATGCTATTTTAAAGATCATTATTTTGTGTATTTGGTGTAACAGAATATGTTGACATGCTTTAATGTTCAAAAAACACATTATTTTTCAAATACTGTAGATTATTGTTGGTCCTCTATGCCCCGCCTCTCTCAAACGCTTCGTTTTCTACAAAGCCCCGCCTTCCGACAAGCACAGTCTGCTCTGATTGGCCAGCTGACCCAGTGCATTGTGATTGGCCGAACACCGCAAGCACTCGTCGGAAATGTAACGCCCCTTACAATGTAGTGCTGGTAAATGTGAAAATATTATTAGAACTATTAAATGTTCTTCTTCATTTTTCATGTAGAATTCTCAGCGACGAATTATATTTAAAATAATAATTTATCAAAACATTAAAGGAGTCATATGATGCTATTTTAAAGATCATTATTTTGTGTATTTGGTGTAACAGAATATGTTGACATGCTTTAATGTTCAAAAAACACATTATTTTTCAAATACTGTACATTATTGTAGGGCCTCTATGCCCCGCCTCTCTCAAACACGCCGTTTTCAACAAAGCCCCCTCCTTTGACAAGCGGAGTCTGCTCTGATTGGCCAGCTGACCCAGTGCATGGATACGATTTCTTGAGAGTTCATTATCATTATTATTATTATATTTTTAGAATATATCAAGGTGGCCCCTATCTCTGTTGTTGATGGTTTTTTCTTTCTTTCTCTGCTCTCGTTTTAATATTCATTTGTCTGTATATCTGCACGCCCATTTCTTGAGTCTTTTGCAAATCTGAGGCGTGAACGACCAGTGCTAAAACGGTTCTGTGTTCGCAGAGATCGAGTTTAACGTGACGGGAAGCTACGGCAGCCCTGTTCATAACGACCACAACGCCAGCTACAGCTCCATGCCGTCGCCAGACTTGGACCAATCAGATCGCAGGCAGCCGGACCAAAGCCGACGCCCACTCAGCGTCGCCACCGACAACATGATGCTGGAGTTCTACAAGAAAGACGGGTGCGTTCGCTTTATATGCTCGCATGCATGCGCTCCTCTCCTCACTTCGGCTTTGAATCACTGACGCTTCTGCTTTTCTTCTATTAATGCAGCATTAGGAAAATTCAGAGGTACGGTGAAGCTTCTGTCTCGTCCTGATTTCCTGCTGATTCTGAACACTGATGCTGGTGGCGTTGCATTATTGAAGTGACATGAATTCAGTGCAGATGGCTAATTAATTTGTTTTAAAGGAGTTTAATGATCTGCCGTACATCACTCAAAGTATGCTACTTAAGATCTTACTTTAAGAAGTCTCTTCTGTTCACCAAGACTGCATTTATTTGATCAAAGGTGCTGTAAAAATTCTGAAATATTTTTACAATTTAATACATCTGTTTTCTGTGTGAATATGTGTTAAACTGTAATGTATTTCTGTGATGCGCAGCTGTATTTTCAGCATCATTCCTCCAGTCTTCAGTGTCACATGATCTTCAGAAATCAGTATAATATGCTGATCTGCTGCTCGAGAAACATTTCTGATTATTATCAATGCTGAAAACAGTCGTGCTGCACAATATTTCTGTGGAAACTGTGATGCGTTTTTTTTTTTAGGATTCACACAAGTTCAACAGAACAGCATTTATTTGAAATGGAAACATTTTGTAACATTATAAATGTCTTTGCTGTCACTTTTGATCACTTTAATGCGTCCTTGATGAATACAAGTATTAATTTCTTTTAAAAAATCTTACCGGCCCAAATGCTGCAGATGGGGTGTTGTTTATGAAGTGTGAGGGATGTGATTGGCTGTGCCTCTGCCCCGTTGCAGTATGGGAGTGCGAGTGATGGACACCTCCTGGGTTTCTCGGAGAGGCTCCTCCTCTTCGTCTCATAAGAGCTCCTTGACTCCGCCCAGCTTTCAGCCGCCCTCTGATTCGCTGAGCCCTGAGCAGACGGCCGATGTCTCCGCCTCCCCCTCACAGACTCCGCCCCCCATCAGCGGCGATAGGACCAGGTAAACAGAGGCGACCAATAGGAATCCAGCGCACACGAGCTGAGCTCATCACATGACTGCTGCTCGTTTCAGTTCAGCCAGATGAGGACATCATGAATATTAATGTCATTTGTGACCCTGGAGCACAAAACCAGTCATAAGGGTAAATTTTTTGAAATTGAGATTTATGCATCATATGAAAGCTGAATAAATATCTTTCCATTGATGTATGGTTTGTTAGGATCGGACAATATTTGAAAATCTGGAATCTGAGGGTGCAAAAAAATCTAAATATTGAGAAAATCATCTTTAAAGTTGTTCAAATGAAGTTCTTAGCAATGCATATTACTAATCAAACATTAAGTTTTGATATATTTACAGTAGGAGATTTACTAAATATCTTCAAGGAACATGATCTTTACTTAATATCCTAATGATTTTTGTCGTGAAAGAAAAATGTATAATTTTGACCCAAACAATGTATTGTTGGCTATAAGACTTAACACTGCTTTTGTGCTCCAGGGTCACATTATATACAGTATATTACTTTTGAATATCATCCAAAGCAGCTCAGAATCAATATTTAAAGTGGAAGTTAAAGCAAAGAATAATTCAGTTTTGATTATATTTATGAATTAGTTGGCTACTGATTTGAAACGAGTCATTCCCCTCTCTTTCCTCTTTTTAATTTCCCGTGAAGATTAAAATTAATTGATCAGAATTGCATTATTCTGTGCCATTATTAACGGATTATCTTTCACTGACAGAATTTGCATTCCTGCATGAACTGTTCTTTTATTTATTTTCTCTCCGTTTTGTTGACTGCGTGAATCCTTTTTATGCATCAGTATTTTAATATCCTCGATATCTCAGCATCACACGCTCCTCCTGTATGTTCAGAGTCACTCTTGTTTCTGCTGATGAACGTAATTAGCATTATTTAAAAGAAATGCTTCGGGTTCAAAACATTCTGTCCATCACATTTGTAGCAAATTAAACAGCATATCAGAAAAATCAGTTCAATTTCATTGTCGAAGTTCAAAATACAAATAATTGTACGTGTTACCTTGTGCTCAAATTAATGATTAATTTGAATAAATATGCATATATAATGCAAATGCATTAATATTTATTTATAATAAATATAATAAATATTTTATTTATGATTCATATTATAATTAATACTTAAAATTAATACTTGATTTTATTATTTTTTTGTATAAATATTTAACAAATCAAGTATTAATTTGAATATTAATCCATATGAATCATAAATAATCTAAATTGAATTATTATTAATAATAATCTATATTAATAAATATAAACATAACGATTAATTATATTAATATTTATTCATTATGATATTAATTAATATTATTGATTAAATAACAGTCACTAACAATAATTTAATAATTAGAGTTGAATAATTGATAATTTAATTATAATTAATTAATAATTAATAGTAATAAATAATAACAATAATGAATCATTTATTGATATTTATGAACATGAGTATAATATGTAATATTTAATAATTAACTTAGTTATTGATTATTATATTAATTATTAATTAATTGACTTAATTATAATGAACTAATATCAGTACATTTTAATAGAATGGATGATTATTTTAATTTAATTTATAAATTGTAATATTAATTAATATAAGTACATAACAATAATTGACTGACTGTTAAATAATAATTGAATAATCGCGAAGTATGCGTTTAATTATAATAACAAACTAATGATTGTATTAGTATCTATGATCATTAAAAAAATATGAATTATAATATTTATTAATAATTGACTGTCTGTTAAATAATAAATGAAGAATTGCTAATAATATTTTAATTTAATTACACTTAATTAATAGTCATACATTTTAACGAACTGATTGTATGAGTATTTATGAACATTAAAAAGGATTATTTATAATATTAATTAAAATCAATTATCAATTTATTGGTTTAATTAGAGTTATCAGTAAATGTTCAATATGATTTATATTTTAAATGATGTTTCCATGGTAACGATGCTGTTGATGGGGCTGAACGTATTGAACTCAGACAGTTTTACGTGTCAATCTTGTAAATCTTTTCAGCTTCGACGAGGCATCATCCAATCGCTCGGACTCCTGTCTCGTCTGTCGCTCCCCGCCCCCTCCGTACCCTGTCTCCTCTTCCTCCTCCTCCTCCTCGCTCCCGCACCCTCGAGTGCGTCTCGAAAGCGTTCCTCCCTCGGCGTTCAGTCCTCCTCCACTCCTCCTGTCCTCCACCTCTCTAGACATCATCTCCAACCCTAAACCCAGCGTCCCCCTGTCCTCCGAGCTCCTCCCCACCGCTCCGCCGGGGGCCGCCTGCAGCCGAGAGAGAGGACTCAGAGCGCCTAGGTAACTACCACTAACCCACTAACTACCCGCTGGAACACTAAAGGCAAATTTGGGATTATACAGTGCTGGCCAAAATGATTAGAGCACTAGTATTTCCAGCAGCTAAAACTGGTTTTAAAGGGGTCATATGATGCAATTTCAAGTTTTCCTTTCTCTTTGGAGTGTTACAAGCTGTTCATGAATAGATAAGATCCCTAAAGTTGCAAAGACTAAAGTCTCAAACCCAAAGAGATATTCTTTATAAGAGTTAAGACTCGTCCATGTCCTCCTAAAACGCCTCGTTTAAACACGCCCCCACATGTCTACATCACTGTGTGAGGATTTGCATCTATCTATCTGTCTATCTAAAAATAAAATGTATATTTATTTCACCAACCCCTAAAAAAACTGTGTATACACTTTTCTGATTGTTTATTTATTTACATAAGGTCAAGAATAATTTTTAATATTTATATTTATTTCACCAGCCCCTAAAAATAAAAGGTTTTTCCAACTTTAGCATCTACATACACTTTTAATTATTTATTTAATCATTCATTTATAAATAAATAATATTTCAATTTATTTCAACGAAACATTTCCATTTTTAGTAACTTCATATATTTAATTAATTAATTCATTCATTCATTTTATATTTTATTTTATTTTTAACGGAGGACATCAGTAAGTGGATGTTCTGTCAGATTCACTTCATTACTCTGGATAAATTTGTTGCCAAATTGCACGTTTTCTATTTTATTCATCTCAGTGTTCAGATGGCCGAGCTGAGGCTGTGTGTGTTTGTGCAGTGAATGGATGTTTGTGTGCATTTCTGTCTTCAGCACCCAGAAGAATAAGGAGTCCTCGCCTGTGATTGGTCAAAGACGCATTGGACAGAACCAGCTGTCAGACCTGAGTCCTCACACGCTGCACAAAGGTGCGTTCAGTCTGTGCAATGCAATGAAATAGCCAAGCATTGAAAACAGTGTTCATTTTGACAGCAAATTTAGATTTTTGACTAAAATGCCATTTAGTTTTAGTCATATTTTAGTCATCTGAATTGTTTTAGTTTTAGTCAACTAAATCTACAGTAGATTTAGTCGGCTAAAATCTAATCAGTTTAGTTACAGTGTAATGCATTTATTAAGAATTCTCTAAAGTTGACAAATTATGACAAAAATTATCCGTCAACACAATTGTGACCCTAGACCACAAATCCAGTCATAAGGGTCAATTTTGTGAAATTGAGATTTATACATCATCTGAAAGCTGAATAAATAATCTTTCCATTGATGTATGGTTTGTTAGGATAGGACAATATTTGAAAATCTGGAATCTGAGGGTGCAAAAAAATCTAAATATTGAGAAAATCATCTTTAAAGTTGTTCAAATGAAGTTCTTGGCAATGCATATTACTAATCAAAAATTAAGTTTTGATATATTTACGGTAGGAAATGTACTAAATATCTTAATGGAACATGATCTTTACTTAATATCCTAATGATTTTTGGTATAAAAGAAAAATGTATAATTTTGAGCCATACAATGTATTGTTGGCTATTGCTACAAATATACCCCAGCGACTCAACACTGCTTTTGTGCTGCAGGGTCACAATTAACACTGATTGAAAACAGCAATCAATGCATTTCAAGTGAATTTCATTCATAATCATGTTATGATCTTATGATATGATGCTGCAATTAATATACACTTTTCCTTCAGTTTCCAAGAAGCTGGCCCCCATCCCTCCCAAGGGTCCGTACTCTCCGTTGGGCTGCGTGTCAGATCTGTCTCCGGGTCCATCTCCGGTCAGTCTGTCCCCGACACCCCCCAGCACCCCGTCCTCATACAGCTTCAGTTACCCGCAGAGCGGCTCCGTCCTCACCTCGCCCGGACACAACCACAGCCAGACGCTCTCCGGGACCCTGCCCAAATCACGGCCCAAACCGCCCCGCCAGAGACCCAGCCTGCCCCCCCCGCAGCCCCCGCCGCTGGACGCTCTGTCCGCCGGGGAGAGCATGTCTACAGGTACAACACTGATTTCTGGAAATAATCAGGCTCCGTTCCGAATGCTAGTGAGTGTTCTTCCTGTGTACTCAGGGCATGACGCTTACCTTTTTCCCAAGGAGCTCCTAAGTTGAAAAATTGAGGAGCACATTACAAAAATGTAGCAAATTTTCAAATTATGTGTTTTAGCTTAAAGGCACAGTATGTAATTTTCGTCGCAAGAGGGCGCAGATTCAAAACAAACAAACAGACAAAGGCGTAGTTTGATGACGGCGTGACTGAGTGTGGAATCATGGGAGTTGTGGTCTTCATCCGCACAGCCGATGCAATCCGACGGGACTCGGGCAGAAATCATGTTCATGGATGAGCTAATGATTTATTAACGTAGTAGAATGAAGCAGGATGAGGCTGAAAGCCGTCGAAGCGAAACGAGGCGCTGAATGAGCGCGACACACGGCTGGAAAGCAGCGGAGCTTTTATTATGCCACAGTCGAGTGCTCCCGCTGACGTGTCATCATGCGGTCATTGTGGCACTATGTGAAGAATGAGAATGAGAAATATTGATAAGAGGCCGAGAACAAGAGTGTGTCTATAGTGTCATGCATTACTGTCTACATAGACAGCTCCCTTGTAAGGCAGCATCCTAACTGAAATGAACCCTCAAAAGGGAGTGATTTGAAATGCTCTGCATTGGCAGAAACACCATGATATGATACCCTAACTAAAGTAAATTGTGCACATACACTACTGCTAAAAGTTTTTAGTAAAAAACAATAATATTGTAAAATAATTTTAATTTAAATATTTTTTTCTATTTTAAAATAAACATATATTTTAAAATGTGATGCATTTGATGAGTAGA